AAATTCTGAAAAATACCCAAAGCTATAACCCATGGTTTTTTCAAAAAATGGCTCCAAATTCACCCGAAATTTTTATTACATTTTCTGATACATATTAAGGTCCTTACGCTGTGTAGCAAGTTTGAGCTGATTCTGACTTGAATTTTTCAAGTTTCGGCCATTTTAAGAAAATGCCAAAATTTTTAAAAATATCCAAGGCTATAGCTCATGCTTTTTCCAAAAAAATGGCTCCAAAATCACCCCAAACTTTTATTAAATTTTCTGATACATATTAATGTCCTTATGCTGTGTAGAAAGTTTGAGCTGATTAAAACTTCAATTTTTCAAGTTATGGCCATTTTAAGAAAACGCGAAAATTCTGAAAAATACCTAAGGTTTTTTCTGAAGAAAAATACCTAAAGCCCATGGTTTTGTCCAAAAAATTGCTCCAAAATCACTCCAAATTTTTATTAAATTTTCTAAAATATATTCATGTCCTTATTCCATGTAGAAAGTTTGAGCTGATTCCGACTTCAATTTTTTAAGTTACAGCCATCTTAAGAAAACGCCAAAATTTTGAAAAGAACCCAAGGCTATAGCCCATGGTTATGTATACAGTACATGTATACAGTATGTACATATACATACTGTATACATGTAATTATGATGCATTTACATGTACATTTTTGTACATGTACATTTTTTGCCACTGTCACCAAACTCTATACTATTTCTTAGGAGTGTTCAAGACAAACCATACGGAAGGGTTGCGGCAACATTTTACTTACTAGCAGAAGCTGAGAGACATCGGAAACTACATGTACAGTCATCACAACATGTTGTGGCTCCTGTCAGATCAGTGCTAGTGTGCTGGGAGGGGCAGGAGGAGGAGAGACTGCTAATACTTCACAGACAATACCATAGGTCGGGTTATATTCGCGGCTGCTAATATTCGCGATTTTTTCCCGCAGCTAGCAATTGCCATAGCAACTAGATGCTATTTTAATTGAAAACAGCGCGTTATTGAAGCACAGCACTCGATTGCAGTGTTCTTGAGTTGTTATTCTTCTCGCTGTTACTATTCCCTGGACTCTTTGAAGTTGCTTTAGCCAGTTCTTTTCAGAAATACTCTACTTGCTCTGCCTCGCCGTGTCTTGGGACTCTCCACCCATTCTAGTTAGTGTTTTATTAACTTGGGTGTGGTTTATAAGCACGACCGACCGACCAGCAGTGATTTTGTAGCGAAGAACTCGAAGCTAGCGGTCCATCTATACAAGAGGATAACAGATAGAGAACTGGAGTCTGGATGGCTCTACTCAAACTGCTCAAGAGTAGCTAATTAGCTGCTGAACACTGTAATTGTATAAACACGTGGTCAATTGTCATAGCAACAATCAATTTGTTTCCATGGTATTTAATTGAACTTCTTTATTAGTTTTTATGACCGCGAATATTAGCAGCCGCGAATATAACCCGACCTACGGTATCAGTTCCTGCACAACCTCCACTTAATAACATGTAAGTAATAAATGTTTACATGTACATATACATTGTACTTTTGCACATAAGGTACATCTACATTACTGTACATGTAATAATAATAATAATGATGATAATGATAAATTAAGCTACATCTTATAATTGGCTTTTCCACAAGGCTTTTGGAGCAACTTTTAAAATTCGTAAAAAAATTCCAATTTTGATAGAAATCAGTAGTCTACTACAGTTGAATGTGTACATGTACATGTACATATCACCTCTGTTTTTTCTCTGTATTTCTGTCTTCTTCTCTCCTTCTCCTCTATAGCATTTTCTCAGTATTATTTCTTAAGAGGTCACAAGAGGAGAGTCCCCTCCCTGTTGTATCCTGTGACTATAGCACTGCTTATGATACCAATCACTTGTTATCTGGTGGTCCTGATTTCTCTGTTAGATTGTGGGACCTCTTCAAAGGAATATTGTTCCACACTCTTGCAGTTCATGGTGGGGTGGTCAGTAGCATTGTAGCATGTCCTCCTCATATTAATGTAAGCTTTGCTCTCCCCCTCACTCTTTCTCTCTCACACCAAAGCATTCAATTGCTAATACATGTACATGTACATGTATTTGTAGCACATGTAATACCATCATGTAGTGCCCATTAAGTGTATAGTAATTAATATTCATGTACATGTAATTATTGTCACTGAAATACATGTGTATGTACATTTTCATATGTTGACTACTTACATGTGCATGTACATGTATAAGTTACTAATGTGCTGAAAAGTATTGTAAATGTTTTGTGGTTTTCATGTTGCCTTCATTTGCTTACTTTTTTGCTTCAATAATGTCATTTACATTTTTTGACAGTTACACATGTACATGTAAATATCAAGTTTTAAATGCAGTGTACATGTACATGTATATGCACAAATTACAATGTTTCCCTCCTCTCTCTCTCTCCCTCTAACCATCAGCTCACCTAGACTCCTAGTATCATGCCTTCATGCATGGAACCTTGACAACACACCGGACAAGTTAGTATTAGATTGGTACTAATAATCAATGTTTTGAAGAATGATATTATGAATAATGATAATGATGTATTGTTGTATTGTTGGCATTGTTACTGGGGCCATACATGTATCATCTGTCTTTCTTACTGTTGGAACTTAAGTATTGGCAATAGTTGAATTTGGCAATTTGCAATTGGTGGATTTTACATATGTACATGTATACATGTATTGGTGTCATTTGGTGATTTAGCAGGCAAATCCCATTGAGCATGCTCAGAATAAAACACAATGACAGATTTTATATTGCAGGATGTTCACTGCAACCAATATTAATTCCCCAGTTAATGTACTATAGTATTTAAGCAGAATACTGTTAATGAGGGTTGAGGTCTAAGACCGTGAAGAGAGGATGAGTATTTAAGAAGAGAAAGAGAGATTCGCTAGGAACTATGAGAATGGATTTAATGACTGCCTAAGTCGGACTATATATCTTTTAGCAAAAGCAACTGCTTATATGCCCATTATAATTGAATAAGTTGTGTGGGTGTCTGCAGGTGTTAACTAATGTTGATATGTACATTGATTGATGTTGTATGAGGACTTGTAAATGTATGCAGACTAGTATGTGTGTATAGTCCAGAAATTAATAAGTAAAATAATTAAATTATAAACACTACAGTACAATTTATATGGTATCATCTTTTTTATATGTCAATTGATATAAAATGATCACGAAATATTGAAATGAGGCATACATGTAGGTACTTTTGTGTATGTATTACTTCATTTTCTAAATTTGTCTTGTTTTTAATTTTTATTATAATTTTTTATGTATTATTAATATTTTTACATGTTGCATACATACACTGTATTGATGTCCTTATGCTGTGTAGCAAGTTTGAGGTGATTCCGACTTAAATTTTTTAAGTTACGGCCATTTTAAGAAAAAGCCAAAATTTTGATAAATACCCAAGGCTATAATAGCCCATGATTTTTCCAGAAAATGGCTTTGAAATCAGCCCTAAATTTTTATTACATTTTTTGATACATATTGATATCCTTATGCTGTATAGAAAATTTGACTCAATCCTGGCTTCAATTTTTTAAGTTACAGCCATTTTAAGAAAACACCAGAATTTTGAAAAATATCCAAGCTATAGTCCATGGTTTTTTCCAAAAAATGGCTAAAATTTCACTCCTAATTTTACTACTTTTTCTGATACATATTGATGTCCCTATGCTGTGTAGAAAGTTTAAGCTGATTCCGATTTCAATTTTTGTGTTATTGCCATTTTAAGAAAATACCAAAATTTGAAAAAGTCCCAAGACTATAATATTATATAGCCTATGGTTTTGTCCAAAAAAATTGCTCCAAAATCACCCCGAATTCTTATTATATTTTCTAATACATATTGATGTCCTTATGCTGTGTAGCAAGTTTGAGGTGATTCCGACTTGAATTTTTCAAGTTACAGCCATTTTAAGAAAACGCCAAAATTCTGAAAAATACCCAAAGCTATAACCCATGGTTTTTTCAAAAAATGGCTCCAAATTCACCCGAAATTTTTATTACATTTTCTGATACATATTAATGTCCTTACGCTGTGTAGCAAGTTTGAGCTGATTCTGACTTGAATTTTTCAAGTTTCGGCCATTTTAAGAAAATGCCAAAATTTTTAAAAATATCCAAGGCTATAGCTCATGCTTT